GTGGTTGAGAACACCAACTGCTCTTCCAGAGGTCCTGAGTTCAATTCCCAGCAACCACATGGTGGCTCACAACCATCTGTAATGGAGTCTGGTGCCCTCTTCTGGTGTGTCTGAAGAGAGCAATGGTGGTATACTCATATGCATAAAATAAAATAAAAATCCTTTAAAAAAAAAAAAAAAGACAGCTCTTAGAAGTGCCTCTTCCACTATGTGCTCCAAGAATTAAAGTTGTTTTATTGGGTTTATAGGGTACATGGTCTTACCCTCTGAGCCATGCTGCTGGCCCAGTGACATGCACGTACGCGCACGCACATAGACACTCACACACACACACACACATCCTCTCAGATAATTCTAATTCAAGTGGGCTTCTCACTTCACATGGGGAAAACACTGTCCTAAACCTTTAACTTACATATTCTTCCTTTGGATCTCAAGGATACAAAACTTAATACCCCTTTATAGAATGATGAAATTTTACAGTTGATGCTTATTAGATTAATGCCAGGGTTTCTCATGGATTGGCTGTATCTGTTAAAGTTAGAGATCAGTATTTTAAAGAGTGAGATGCTAAAAAGATAGTTGGAAAACTTCCAGTGACTTTGTCTTCAAAGAACTCTCCCAAAAGTTTAGGGATTCTGTAGGGATGAAGATACAGCCAGCACTAGACTTGTATGCTTAAGGTCTTGGGCTCTAGCCCTAATACTTCCTAATACTCTGCCCAATAAAAATGAATATTAGTTCTTTTTGTTTTGAAACAAGGTCTTACTCTAGCTCAGCCTGGCCTAGAACTTTTTGCAGTCTTGCCCTTGCCTCTGGAGTGTTGGGATTACAGGTGTTGGAGCCACCACACATTGCTTCTAGGTCTAGGCACTGAGACCAGGGAAGAGATGCTTTTGAACCTAGAAGAAGAAAAAGGACTAAAGCAAGGGATGCTGGGAAAATTAACGTTGACAATCCCAAATCGTGGGGCTGTGTAAATGGGTAATGGCTCTTAAAAAAGGGAACAAGTGACTACTTGTCCAGGCCATGAAAAGATTTGATTTCAGGATTCTGATGTCACCTGTAGTGATGACATGAAGTCTGTCATTTGGCTGTCTGCACTAATTAAGCTTCCTAGAGCTCCTTCTCAGGTGTAAGGATGAAGTTTAACGAGCAAAGGAAAGTTTTTACAATGTTGCTTCTTATTTCCAGCTCTCCTGCCTTGGCCCCTCACCCCTGAAAATGTATGCCTGCTCCAGGTTCGTCTCTACCCGCTCCCTGGTGAGTACATTTTCTGGAAGGAGTTTAAAGGACACCTTGTTTCTTCATAGAATGCCAGAGATGTCCAAACTTTAAGTATAGGGACATGACACTGTCATGTACTAGTGTGCTGGGCTGCCTTCATAGCTTCCCTAGAGTGCCTGCAGTCTGTGGCCATAAGTTGGATGTGCCTGTTACACCTTGTTCTTCGCAGAGGGGCTAGGGGAAGGTGAATGAGATTCTGTGAAAGAGAAGGCCTTTTGCTATGGTCGATAGTAGAGTGAATGTTTGCTAGGCACTCCTCGGTCCATATTCTCTGGAGGCCAGTTAATTAACATCCAACAGCATGTAATTTCACTGTATGTTCATGGTATTTGAACCCAGCCAGACACAGTAAGCAAATGGTGTGTTACATAGCTTGGATAGAGTATACATTGTCTAGGGACTCTTGCTTGAGTAAGCCTTAGCTAGGACTTTATGCTGGGAATTTAAGCCTGGGAAGGAAACTCAAGTACACTCTGGAACAGTGTTAGGTTCAGAATCAACAGGATGTTAGAAATTTAAAATGAGTAAGATAGTGGAAGCTGTTCATAAGTTAAAGGGTGTGATGCTGTTGGTGGGTACCAGTTACTAAGCACTCACACTGTTTACCAGTTTGTATCTTCCCATTTACTCCTCAGAACCCATTTGACAGGTGACGAAATAGTCTGAGAACCATGAAGTAACTTAGCCCTCACACTGCATACCTGATAGAAAGTTAATATTTGGGGGGGCTGGAGAGATGGCTCAGTGGTTAAGAGCATTGACTGCTCTTCCAGAGGTCCTGAGTTCAATTCCCAGCAACCACATAGTGGTGGATCACAACTATCTGTAATGGTATGTCTGAAGACAGCTACAGTGTCTTAAAAAATAAATAATTTAAAAAAAAAAAAGAAAGTTAATATTTGGGGTTGCAGAGATGGATTGCTTAAACAGTTAAGATCACTGTTACTCTCGTAAACAACTTGGGTTTGGTTCCTGGCATCCACATGGCATTCACAATCATTGTAATTCCAGTTTCGGGGGATCCAGTGTCATCTTCTGGTCACTGTGAGCACGAGGCACCCATAAGGTACACATACATACACGTAGGCAAAACACTAATACACACAAAAGAAAGTTACCACAAGAGGGCTAGAGATAGAGATACAGCCCAGTGGAGAGTACTTGCCTAGCATGTACAAAGCCCAGGGTTTGGTCCCTAGCACAAAAAAAGGAAGAAAAAAAAAAGCCACATAGTGGCTCATGTCTGTAATCTAGAACTTGGGAGGATGAGGCAGGAAGATTGGTTGGTACAGATTTAAGACCAGCGTGGCCTACCGTGAGATCCTGTCAAGAAGAGGTATGTAAGCATCTTAATTCTGTCTGTAAAGACTTGGGTGTTGTCTACTATGTATCTTAGAGATACATAGTCTTGGGGCTGACGAGAAAAGGCTGTCAGGATGAGGTGAGATTTGAACATGGTTCTTCATGTGTATTTTCCAGAGGCAGATACATATATTCAGGGAAGAATACCCTAATCCTTGGCTTTCTTATGAGCAGTTATTGCCAGTAAATATCTCCCTTGTTGAGTGAAGCAGATACTTCTGGAGCTTACGTTTCTTCTGATTCTCAAGAGGGTAAAAGAGTACAGCAGAAGTATAGCCTCCCATGGCCCCTGCAAGGAAGAACACTTTCTTTCCTTAAAGCAAAACCTGAAAAGCAAGACAATGGCCCTGAATTCAGAATTTGTTCACACAAGGAGTGATACTGCATGTGTGAAGTCCGAGTACCGGGGACACTATCACAGGAGGGTTCCTTAGCCTGGGGCTTCAAGGTCAGCTTGGGCAACATAGCAAGATTTCTGTGTCTTTTAGGTTTAAAGATTTTTTTTTTTTTTTGGTAGGAAATTGTGTCATGTGTATGAGTGTTTTTCCTTACATATATGATGTGTGTACTACATGTGTGCCTAGTACCCAAGGAGATCAGAAGAGAGTGCTGGAGCTCCTGCGGCTGGAGTTATGGATGGTTGTGAGCCACTGTGTGGGTGTTGGAAATTGAACGTGGGTCTCTACTAATGCTCTTAACCTCTAAGGCATCTCTCTAGTCATATTATTATCATCATTTATATTATTTTATTATTATTGCTTTGAGACATGGTCTCTCTGTGTAGCCCTGGCTGACCTGGAATACGTAGAGATCTGCCTTCCTCTACTTCCTGAGTGCTGGATTAAAGGTGTCTGCCTGTCTCCTAAACACATAGAAAGACTGACTCAAGGTTCTGGGTAAATTTGAAAGACTGGAAGGAGCGTCAGAGAACATCCTACTGGATGCAGTGACATGCTTCTGAAAGTCACCTCCACAGCCTTCCTGACCTTCCTGCCCTTGTCATTCCCCTAGATCAGGAGCACCTCTCAGCTGCTGAGTCGTCCGCTGTCTGCGGTGGAGTTGAAGCGACCACAGATGCCAACAAATGAGGTACCTAGAGGTGGAGTTGGGACTGTGGTTTGGGGGGAGGGGTAAAGAGGGTTACCTCCCAGGACCAGTAGGGGGAGTGCTGAGGACAATCACCACAGACTGATGTACAGGAAGGAAGGATCAGGCCTTTGGCTCTAGGTAGAAATGGAAGGCAGTGAATACTCTCTGTGTTAGTGATTGCCCCTGGTAGTTCTTGCTTTGGTGGACCTCTGTCAACTTCCATTATTAGGCCTGATCTGCTGACCATGTTTTGGGGGACAAGAACAGGCTCATGTCTCAAACTTAACACTTCTAGACCATACTGAAGTCATGGAGGCATTTGAACTCCACCCCCTACATTAAAAAGTTATCTTGCCAGCATTTTAGGGAGGTTTTCAGGGAATTAAATGATTTTTTTCCATTGAGGGAGGAACATTAGATTTGACAGCCTAGCAGTTTGAAATAGTACAGTGTTTCCAAAGCAAAACAGAGCACTGATAACAAAACCCCTGCCTTCTATCTGCCTTTGTCACAGAGCCTCAGGAGCTTGGTGGTCCAGCAGCCTCTGACCTCGCTTATCCCTACCCGCAGCTTCCAAACCAGCACTGTTTCACGGGACATCGACACAGCGGCCAAGTTCATTGGAGCTGGGGCTGCTACAGTTGGGGTGGCTGGCTCTGGGGCAGGGATTGGGACTGTTTTTGGGAGTCTCATCATTGGCTATGCCAGGTAAGGGTACCTGGGCCCTCTGTTGGCTCTGTCGGGTGGTCCAAAGGACGGGCCTAGAGCTGCACTGTCCTGTGCAGAGGCCACTAGCTCAATGCTATTACTTTTTATTTAAATTTCTGGGTTTTGTTTGAGATAAGAGTAAACCAACTTGTGCCTCCGTGTGCATGTGTTCACACACATGGGAGTACACACATGCATATATACCCACACCTAAATGAGTAAATATTAATTTTTGTTTCCTCATTATGTTACCCTAGTTGGCCTAGAACTCAGAGCCCTGCTTGTCTCTGCCTCCTTGAATGTTGACATTAAGGGGCATGTACAGCCACACCTTGCTTTAATTTTTAAAAATATGAACACTACTATGAATACTATGCTAGGTGTGGTAATATAGACCTGTAATGCCAACAGTTGTGAGACAAAGGCAGAACAATCAGCAGCTCTGGGTTAGCCTGGGCTACATGGTGAGTTCAGGCTAGCCTAGTCTATATCAGATCCTGTCTCAACATAAAATTGAGGTTTTCAGTTACTCTGTCCTGAAATTCCAAGTGCTTGGGAGCTGGAGACAACTTTAGTTAGCAGTGCAAGTGTAGCAGATGCACGTCGCTGAAGTTCTGTTGAGCAGCTGTAGTACAGAGCAGGGACTGGCAATCCAGGTTTGAGTGCTATAGTTTGACCACAGCCTGGTTTTCTATGGTTCAGTTAAACTGTGTGGCCCTGGCTGTCTCAGACGGCTGTTTCCCCAGTGCTAGGATGAACACCTAGTTCTTACATTCTTTAAAAGTACTTTTAAAAGTAGCAAGAAGAGGTTTTCTATGTTGTTACAAGGGAGCAACAGAGTCTAAGGTGCTGGCTCTGTGTGTGTCAGTGTGCTTTATCACACTCTAGAATAAATGTTAGGATAATAGACTCTGTGATCCCAAAGCCTCAAGTGAAAACTCTGGCCCTTACAGAGAAGGCTGCCATCCCTGGGCTCGACCCAGTCAGTGCCTTAGCCTTACTGTTTTCCTCATCTCAGGGAGTCGCTCTTGCTCCTGGGACAGCTGCCTCTGCTACCAGCCTGCCGGTCCTAGACACCTGGGACTATTTAGTCTCTGCCACCTCTGGACAAGTCACTGAAGAACTAAATTAATCCTCTAGAGACCAGCAGGTTATCTTAATGTCTGGGGAAATAGGGTTATTTTTTTCAGAATTTGCATTAAACAGGAAGCCTGATTACTTTTGTGTTCACAATTCTGCTAAGAGTTTGTGTTGATTTACCTTGCCCATAAGACTTCTGTAGCTACCAATGTAAGGAAAATGAAAATTATCTATTGACTTTGCAAAGTTAGCACACAGTTGTCCTATTTGGATTCATATTATAAATATAGCATAAATACCATTCAGCATCTTAAAGCACAAAATCAAAGCTGTGGTGGCACACACCTTTAATTGCAGCATTTGGTCTACAGATGGAATTTCAGGGCAGCCAGGGCTACAGAGAAACCCTGTACCAAAAACCAAAACCATTAAAAAAAAAAAATCTTGACTATTTTCAGATGACCAAAGAAAGTTATCCCTTTGCCTTTCTCTCCTGCTTTCTGTAACGGTGTTCTGCCCGTAGCGTTCTGGTACACACAGGGTGTGAGCCGCAGCCCATCTGCAGTTTGGCTTCTGTGTCCTGTTAGGGTTCTGCTGCTTGAGAAAGAGCCAGCCATAATGAGTATTCTCCGTTCTGTTCTGGCCTTGAATGTTAAGTATTCAGGCCTGTAGTTCTAACTTACTACGGTAGGAGAGATCACTGAGGAAGGTGATGTTTGCACACAGGCTGTTAACAGCATCTAAGATTGTCCACCTCTACCTTGTTTTACCCCCTGTTGAAACCTTAGTGCTAGAGTTTGGGTACAACGGCGTCCCCCAGATGGATCTTCTTACAAATAAGCTTGAAGGGAATTCTCTAGGAGAATTAGCACCTTAGACATTTGTCCTTTTCCTTGTGTGGACTAGAAATTCAGTCTTCTCTCCTCCTTCCCAGGAACCCTTCTCTGAAGCAACAACTCTTCTCCTACGCGATTCTGGGCTTTGCCCTCTCAGAGGCCATGGGCCTCTTTTGCCTAATGGTGGCCTTTCTCATCCTCTTCGCCATGTGAAGCAGCCGTCTCCACTTCCACCTCCCATAGTTCTTTTGTGTCTCGTCTGCCCTGTATGTTCCTTTTCCTGTAACTCCCCAAGAAGTCTGGGGAAAGTGCTTGGCTCAGGGTTTGACAGAGAGAAGACAAATAAATACTGTATTAATAAGATGTTTCTTGAGTCTCCTGTGTATATTTCTTCTCCACAGTTGGCAGAGTGCCTTGGTGAGAGTACAAGGCCAGCGTGGTGAGGTTCTACACTCTGCAGGGATATGGCTGGGCTTGGTCTCTCTCTTTTTTTTTTTTTTTAGACTTTTTTAAATGTATTTTATGTATGTGGGTGTTTTGTCTGCATGTACATCTGCACACCAGAAGAAGACAGCAGATTCCATAGGACTACAATTATAGTCTGTTGTGAACTGCCATGTGGGTGCTGGGAATTGAACTCAGGTCCTCTGGAAGAGCAGCTGGTGCTCTTAACTGCTGAGCCATCTCTCCAGCCCTTGGATGTATTCTTTAATTCTTTGTTTCAGGAAAGTTCTATTAAAAACAGCTGTCCTTTTCAATAATAATACCTGGTATGACCTGCTACTTGCCTTGGAAGATTGGGGTTGGTGCTTAAAATGGGTTTGTTACCTGTCACTGTCACGATTCTGGCCCAGGCCCTTTTTGTCACTCATCTGGTCAGTTGTGTGCACCTCTTAACTGTCAGCCTACTTCCAGTTTCTTCCAACATTGACTTCTACTGAATGCCAGGTAAACCTTCCCTTAAGAACAGAACTGATTTTGTCATTTACCAACTCAAAATTCACACGTGTCACATACCTCACTGGCCTAGAATTTTGTAGATCAAACTCTAATCGTCCTCTTATCCCTGCCTTCTGAACCCTGGGATAACGGAGCCAGCTCAGTCAGTCAACAGGTTCTCCTGGGTAGGAGTGAGGATTAAAAAGAAAGAGACAGACGACTACAGCATGACCCCAGCCAGTTCTGAGACTGAAGGCAGGTTTATTTTTTCCCCAATCTGCTTTTATACCATTTTAATTACATGCAAGTATTAAGATTAGTTCTAGGTTGAGGAACTAGAAATACAATAGATGCCAATCAAGGAGCAAGCAAGACAGTAAACACAATAGTCAAAGAACAAGCAAAGCAATAAACAAAGTCCTGTGATCACTGTTTCTCAGGGCTTATCAGGATGACCAAAATATCTGAGCCTACTTCCCTGTCCTAGCCCACGGTCATATTCATGCCTTCCTTGTTCTAGCCCAAGATTTAGATTCCTGCCTGAAATTACTTCCCTGTTTTAACCTAAAATTAGATTCCTGCCTAAACTTACTTCCTTGTCATGGCCCAATGTTAGATTCCTGCCTCAAGCCCATTTTATTGTTCTTGGCCAATGCTAGACTACTGCCAAGCAGACCCAAAACCTCTCCATGCTGGGACTACAGGTGTGAGCTACCATCCCTAAGTATTGCCTCATTGCCCAGGCTGGCCTCAAGTCTCTCAAGTAATGAGGACTGCAGTTGTGTAGTAGCATACATATTGTCTTTTGACCCCCCCATACTTTACCCAGAATGTACTTTAAAATGCCTTCCTGGCCTTCCTATGTCTTCCAACCTTGTCCTTGCTTTCCTCAGTTTCCTCTTCTTCAGAGTTTCTATGTCATGAAAGACTTGGCTTAAATGCTCCCTTCTTTATGAAGCTGTTTTCTAATATCCGTCTATCCTCAGTCAAATGAGCATGAATGCATGTAAAGAGCTATAGAACACATCATATCCCCTTTATAATACTCATCTATGGTGAATCGTGGATTCATGTACATAGGGACTTTTATGTGTGTGCACATGCAACACGTAAGTAATTTTTTTTTAATAGGAATGATAGTCTAGGTGACCATAATGCTTTATTTTTCAATCAGTCTTGTTAAGGTGTACAATCAGAAAACCAGGCATGGTATTGTAGGCTTATCCTACCAGCATTTAGGAGGCTGAGATAGAAAAGTCCAACTCAAGGCCATCCTCTGCTATATGGGGAGTTTAAGGTTAGCCTGGGCTACATGAAACTGTCTTAAACCTAAGACCTGTATTGGAAACTAAGATGGACAATCATGGATGTGGGCTTCTGGCATCTACATATGAGCACAAGTGTACACAAAAGCCACCAGCAGATACATGCCCATCGTCCTTGACTTTGATACTGTGCTTAAAGGGTGGAGGGGAATAAGAGGTTTGGTTCCAGAGTTATACACTGTCTGCAGTTAACTCTTTTTCTGGACTATGGGGCAGACATTTGTCCCTAGGCAAAAGTTGATACGAAGTATCTATATACTTAGAAGTAAACAGTAGCCCTTCCTTTGGTTTGGTCACTTGAATTTGAAACATGATGGGAGGCTCTTTTGTCTTATTTTATTTCCTTCTTGATCCTGGAACTGAATTGAGCTGAGTGAGCCTTTTGGAGAGAGCAAAGCTCTGTGGCCTACGTGTTTTTATTCTTAGGTGTTAATGAGATGGCTCTGTAGACACTTGCAGATTTATTCAGTCCTCAAGACAACCAGCTCCTCTCAGCTGAGGCCCCAAGAGATACTCATTGGAACCCCCAAGTTGCCAACAACTTGGGGTGAAGGTGTGTTGTGTTTAGTAATAGATTTAAGAGCAGGTTTTCTAAAGATCTGTCCAACTTTCATAACCTTGGTTTCTGCTTGGCCTGATTTTTAAAATAGCCCATGATTTGAAATCAAGAAGTCTCAGGAACTGATTTCTCTTGTAACACTAACCAGCTCTAACCAGTAACTTTCCAGGACTTCTGTTTTTCCCATCTGTAAACAGGAGTAGCATTTCTCATCACAGGAATTCTGCAAGGAGGTATAATACTTGGAGTGTTCAAAAGGGACAGTGTTGACAATTTTTAATATGCTGATTTTAATTTGTTTTCTTATTCTTCCCGGGTTTCACTGTTTGAGCCCTTTTCTAGGCAGCTCTCTCTTCATAAGGAAGGGAATTTTGTAATATGACAGGAAAGGTGCTTAGGAATGAACCCAGAGATGCTGCAGGTAGAGACCTGCTTTCCTCTTCTTAAAGGGTCAGTAGAAGTAAATGATGCCCTTTGAGCCACAGACACATGCCTACAGTCCTCCGTTCTACCGGCTGAGCTATCGAAGGAAGCAATGATGCCCTTTGAAAGTCATCTAAATATTAAACTGGGCTTGGTGATGTAATGCACACGTTTAATCCCAGCACTTGGGATTAAAGTTGGATACAAAGTTTTGTTGCTCAAAACTAGGACTACAGTGAAATTCCTCAACTGTTCTTCCCTTTTGCAGAATTAAGTAAAATGTTCCTTTCTCCCAGCTCCCTGATCGAAGGTCATAGCTGTTCTAGCTTCCTAGATACCAACTCAAGCTAAATCACAAGTGTTGCTGGTTGGTGGTTTGCTTGTGGTGATGACAAGATTCCTGAGGCTGACAGATTCCTGAGTTCGAGGCCAACCTGATCTACAGAGCAAGTTCTAGGACAGTCAGGGCTACACAGAGGAACCCTGTCTTAAAAACAAACTCATCGGAATGCTACATAGCAGTAACAGGGAACCTGACCCCAGCTCCTTTCTCAGGATGGCTTTCTCAAAGGCATCACCACAAGCAAACCACCAACCAGCAACACTTGTGATTTAGCTTGAGTTGGTATCTAGGAAGCTAGAACAGCTATGACCTTCGATCAGGGAGCTGGGAGAAAGGAACATTTTACTTAATTCTGCAAAAGGGAAGAACAGTTGGGGAATTTCACTGTAGTCCTAGTTTTGAGCAATAAAACTTTGTATTGAACCATATCTCAAAATACCTTGCCTTTCCCCAGTCTGTTCTGAGCACACACCACTGTTCAACCTGGTATTCTCACCATGTGGTAAGGAAAAACTAAAGTCTGGGAAGATGTGTTAGTCCCCAGGTATTCTTGAAAGTTTTCTTATTTTTCCAGGCAGTGGTGGCAGAGACAGCCAGGTCTCTGAGATCAAGGCCAGCCTTGTCTGCAGAGCAAATTCTAGCACAGCCAGGGCTACACAGAGAAACCCTGTCTCAAAAACCAAACCAAACAACAGCAAAAAAAAAAAAAACAAAAAAAAACCTTTTTTTTTTTTTTTAACATTGTCTTAGTTAGGGTTTTACCGCTATGAACAGACACTATGACGAATGTAAGTCTTATAAAGACGACATTTAATTAGAGCTGGCTTACAGCTTCAGAGGTTAAGTCCATTATCAAATCGGGAACATGGCAGCATTCAGGCTGGCATGGTGCAAGAGGAGCTGAGAGTTCTACATCTGAAAATGCTAGCAGAATACTGACTTCCAGGCAGCTAGGATGAAGGTCTTATAACCCACACTCACAGTGACACACCTTCTAATCCTGCCACTCCCTGGCCCAAGCATATACAAACCATCACAAACATTTACTTCAAGACACTGTGGGTATTAGTACATTGTGACCAAGTGGACACTTTAGAAATAGGAAAAGCCGTTTATAGAATACTATGCACAAGGCAGGAGGACTTTCTTGGCCTCTCTTAGTACTCTAAAGTCAGTTAGAGGTGCGTCGTTCCTGTTTTTTCCTTTTCCCTACAGGGATCATTTTTTTCCTCCTCTTTTGATTAACTGCTTTGATAGGCAGAGATTTTACATGTCTTACTAGGAGTCTTCTTCACTCAGCGCTGTTGTGGCATGCATGTGGACTCATCTCTTCCTCCACCTTGTTGAGGCAGCACGCCTTTTGTTTCTGTGACTCTGGAGCACTCCAGGCTAACTGGACCTGGAGTTTCCAGGCTGCAGAAGGGCTGCCATTACAGATGAATGCCACTACTACACTATTTCTTTTGAGGGGGAGGTGTAGACCATAGCACTGATGTAGACGTCAGAGGACAACTTGAAAGAATGAGTTCTCTCCTACCATGTGGGGCCTAGGAATGGAATTTAGGTCATCAAGTTTGGCAGAAAGTGTCTCTTATCCCTGAGCCATCTTCCTGAGTCCAGCTGTTTTACATGGGTTCTGCGGATCAAAGGTACTCTGTTAACCACTGAGTCATTTTGGCAGCCCTAAGCAAAATTCTTTTAAATGAACCTTTAAAAAGATCATGGTGGCATACACTGGGAGGCTGAGGCGGAAGAATCTTAAGTTTAAGGGCTA